TGCTAGCATTGACAGGTGGGTGAGTAGAATATATGCATGACCTTTGAGGTTAAAAAAACTGAACTTGTGTGTAGTTATTGTAACAATAGTAGGACTATTCATTGTAAATAAAGGGAAATAATTACCATTGTATATAAAAACATTATGCTAAAAATAAAAGTATTTTTTATTAAGTCTTATCACATTTAGTGGTGAGAAGCCATCCCTTTAGACTTATGATACTTGAGACAACATCTTTTCATTATGAACTATTTCAGGATCATAAAGACAGCATCTTTAAATCTGTTAGTTTTGAGGTTAAAGAATATGGTAAGCTATTAAATAATTAAGAAATTTTTTTATTTCTATTTGCACTAAACATTATCTGTCTCTTCTAACCAGTGCTGAAAAAAAAAATTCTTATTACAACAGGCTTGTATGTAATTTTCAGTTCTGCCCGATTTTTCTGCTGAGCTTGAAGTGGAACCACAACTTATTACCAAAGACACAAGAGTGATCAATCTCACAGTTGTAGCAAAGTGAGCTTTCAACAGTTTTATAGCTCCAACATGGCATCTTATTTCTTATATGCTTAAATACTTTAACCCTTAACTGTCCAGGCAAACAAAAAAATATTTTATTTTCCGTATGGCCGGGTGAAAAGATAGCACATTTTTCAGCAATGGCAATTTTAAAACAAACTTATTTTAAAATATCCTCATACATTAAAAAAATAAAACAGTCATTATACAAGAAAATGGTCTTAGTTCATTACAATGTTAAATATCTTAATATTGTATTAATAATAAATAAAAATAACAGTAAGGGTTAAGTGATTGCATGAAGTGAATAAATTAATGTCCTACTAACTGTATATAGTTTGTCATCAGCCACATTTTTTATGCGACATTTTCAATGATGAATCTGTGTTTAAATCAAGAAATAATATGATCAAATTGTTTCTGCACTATTTGTCTGTACAGATTTTGACATGTTTGTGCAATATTTATTTTAGAGATGTTTATGGTCGTCCTGTACAAGGTACAGTAACAATGCAAATAGGAACATGGAGCAAACAAGGACCTAAATTAATTTACTCTGTTGAAGAAATGGTAAGAATGTGGTCAATTCTTACTGACAATCTGTAATCCATCTCTTGCAAGTTTTCTAAGTACGTTCCTATCTGGGGAACAGCATGGTCAAACAGGAGAGTGCATGATTGCTAACCCAAATAGACCTGAGTTTAGATCACTGGGCAGATGAGGTGCATTGACTGGGGACCTGAAACAATCTAGGAGAGAAAACTGAAAAAACTGCTGCTTTTGTTTACAAGCCAGCTTCATATAGCTGTAGCATGCCAGTTTACTTGAGACAAACTTCTGTTATTATTTACTTTTCATATTTTCTGGGTTTGTTTTCATTCAGTTCATTCCTTATTTACAAATCACTGTTAATATAGTTAGTGGGTTTGTTTTCATTCAGTTCATTCCTTATTTACAAATCACTGTTAATATAGTTAGATCAGAGTTTACAGCTCTGACTTTGTCAGACCAGTAAATCTCTGAGTCATTACCAAATAGATTTTTATATCCTTCATCAGATTTGGTTAGAATAAGCAACAATGTGGACTTAACAAACATTAACAGCTTAATTACAACAAGGCCAGAAGAATAATTTTTTTTATAATATAATTATTGATCCCCACCCCCACCCATGGCTAATTCCTACTTGATTGTATTTCCTGATTTCTTATCTACAGCAGCTAGACAAGGGCAACTGTACAGTAGCTAGAGAGACATCTGCTCTACTTCCACCCCAAGCTGATGAAGAAACAACATTGTATGTTGTCTACAATGTGACATACAACTTCACACAAGAGAGATTCATGTTTACATACAATCACTCTGTGTTTTCTGACCATTTTTACCAGATAGATTTTTCTCAGTCAAAACATTTTTTCAAGCCAGGACTGTACTACACGCTCCAGGTAAAAGATTTCTTGCCTCCAATGTAAATGAATGTTACCAAAATTTAGGTTCACAAAAGTACATGGAGATCATTGATAAAAAACATTAAAAATTTATGTTCAGTTACTGTATAGAAATAAAGTGATAGTAAAATAAATGTGTACTTAAATTTGATTTTAGGCACAAGCAAAATCCAAGCTTGGAAATATAGCATCATCAAAGCAAATCAACCTAACTATTGCGTATGTCTCAGGATCAAATTCTAAATGTAAGGTTTTAAAATATTTTAACCGATACATCTGATATATCAAGTGTTTATCTTATCAGTCTATTTTTTATTTTCATCTTTATACATTTATAGGGGAAAGTCGTCAAGTGAATTTAGATCAGTATGGGAAAATGTTTGAAAACATTTCAACTTCAAATGGCTATACAAAGATCAAATTTCTGGTAAACATTTCTTCTTTACATTTTCTGAACATTCCTTGTTTGTTAGACATTTTATTGTAATTGTTATTATGATAGTCAAAGTTAGATAACTCTGTGGGTTAGTGGTCATATCTTGTGATAAGATTTACACCTATTTTTAATGGAGCTATATGTTGTCACATTTTTTAGTTAAGTTCTTTACTCACTTGAACACAACATCATTCTCTGTCTAATTAGAGGAATCATCAAAAGTTAATTTTAAGATTTGGAAATTCAGTAACACAAGGAGAAATAACTAGTTAGTTGTAATCTTAGTCAGTGAGCTAGTTGTAATGTCAACTTTTCATGTCAACTTTTCATGTCAACTTCTTACGTCAGCTTTTTTTAACAATGAGATAAGGCCAGATACTTCAGGGCAGATAATAGAACTACTCACATGGATTGGTTCTTTGAAGGGAACTTTAAACCAATGGTTTATTTATAGAGCAAATATTTTTAATTATTTGGAGTATAGACTCATTAACAGATTGGAAAGAAATTTTTTTTTTTTACAAGTATCAAATGACTTTTAAGGTCATGGGTGGGTGATAAATACCAAGTTAGCCAAATGCTTTTTTCTAAACCTAATGCTATCATATCTAGCATATAGTTATAACTCAGAATTAAGTCTAAAAATTAAAAAAAATGGCTGAAAATTTCCTGCCGTTGCCATTATCCACTTGTTCTCATCTGATAATAATTTGTTTTTTATTAACTGTCTACTAGAGACTTATCTATGTAGTTGCGTGTCATACAACAATTTTATTAACTGTCTACTAGAGACTTATCTATATAGTTGCGTGTCATACAACAATTTTATTAACTGTCTACTAAAGACTTACCTATGTAGTTGTATGTTAAGACCACATACAACAACTTTTACCAACACTTAACTTGACTGGTTTTATTTGAATGCTAGGCTAGAGTTGTAGATGAAGTACATCCAACTTCTAAAGAATATTTCTTTGAGGTGAATACATTCATTGCAAGAGAGTACATTACCATCTATAGAGTAGATACAAAGAAGGTAAGGTTTCATATATATCAAATTTTTGCCCTTTACTTACACCATTTCTTATTGTAGTCCTAAGTAGGCCAAGACAAAAACATAGTATTGCTACAATCCATTAATGTTTCGCTCGGTAATGAACTTGTGGCATTGTCACAGCATTATTTATGGTTGAAACAAACCTGTGATTGTGGGTTGTTGAATACATGAAAGTGAACTCCAATTTGCATAACTAGATAAGTTTATTTACTCACTAGAAATAATATGAATCCATCATCAAATAAGTGTACAGCCTACACCTGATATAGAATAGTAGAAAATACAAAGTGTACAGCCTACACTTGATATAGAATAGTAGAAAATACAAAGTGTACAGCCTACACCTGATATAGAATAGTAGAAAATACAAAGTGTACAGCCTACACTTGATATAGAATAGTAGAAAATACAAAGTGTACAGCCTACACCTGATATAGAATAGTAGTAAATACAAAGTGTACAGCCTACACTTGATATAGAATAGTAGAAAATACAAAGTGTACAGCCTACACCTGATATAGAATAGTAGAAAATACAAAGTGTACAGCCTACACCTAATATAGAATAGTAGAAAATACAAAGTGTACAGCCTACACTTGATATAGAATAGTAGAAAATACAAAGTGTACAGCCTACACCTGATATAGAATAGTAGAAAATACAAAGTGTACAGCCTACACTTGATATAGAATAGTAGAAAATACAAAGTGTACAGCCTACACTTGATATAGAATAGTAGAAAATACAAAGTGTACAGCCTACACTTGATATAGAATAGTAGAAAATACAAAGTGTACAGCCTACACCTGATATAGAATAGTAGAAAATACAAAGTGTACAGCCTACACCTGATATAGAATAGTAGAAAATACAAAGTGTACAGCCTACACTTGATATAGAATAGTAGAAAATACAAAGTGTACAGCCTACACTTGATATAGAATAGTAGAAAATACAAAGTGTACAGCCTACACCTGATATAGAATAGTAGAAAATACAAAGTGTACAGCCTACACCTGATATAGAATAGTAGAAAATACAAAGTGTACAGCCTACACCTGATATAGAATAGTAGAAAATACAAAGTGTACAGCCTACACTTGATATAGAATAGTAGAAAATACAAAGTGTACAGCCTACACTTGATATAGAATAGTAGAAAATACAAAGTGAACAGCCTACACTTGATATAGAATAGTAGAAAATACAAAGTGTACAGCCTACACCTGATATAGAATAGTAGAAAATACAAAGTGTACAGCCTACACCTGATATAGAATAGTAGAAAATACAAAGTGTACAGCCTACACTTGATATAGAATAGTAGAAAATACATATGAGCACACCAACATATCTTTCACACACCGGGCATAGTCCCGTCTTGCATTGGTCTATGGTGGCTGTCTAACACTGCGGTTACCCCAGGTTATAGAGCCCTACATTCTCTCCCTTCACTCAGTGAGTGATCTCCAAAAAGCTTGGAAAATACAGTGATTGATAGCTCACACATTCACTTCCGATGGCCAGGTATTCAACTATCACACGTTTCACTCCAAATACAATTCACAATAAAACAGTCTGTTACAGGGATTGATGCTAAAAATAATTTATATCTCTCCAACAAGTATTTTCAGAGAATATTAATTTACCAGAATACTATTTTAAGATGATACTAGTGTACCAGTTTATTTTCAAAGTTGTGTGACCATTTATAGGTAGGTTACCATATTATCCCAGTAGGTGGGTTACCACATTATCCCAGTAGGTGGGTTACCACATTATCCCAGTAGGTGGGTTACCACATTATCTCAGTAGGTGAGTTACCACATTATCCCAGTAGGTGGGTTACCACATTATCCCAGTAGGTGGGTTACCACATTATCCCAGTAGGTGGGTTACCACATTATCCCAGTAGGTGGGTTACCACATTATCCCAGTAGGTGGGTTACCACATTATCCCAGTAGGTGGGTTACCACATCCCAGTAGGTGGGTTACCACATTATCCCAGTAGGTGGGTTACCACATTATCCCAGTAGGTGGGTTACCACATCCCAGTAGGTGGGTTACCACATTATCCCAGTAGGTGGGTTACCAGATTATCCCAGTAGGTGGGTTACCAGATTATCCCAGTAGGTGGGTTACCACATTATCTCAGTAGGTGAGTTACCACATTATCCCAGTAGGTTGGGTTACCACATTATCCCAGTAGGTGGTTACCACATTATCCCAGTAGGTGGGTTACCACATTATCCCAGTAGGTGAGTTACCACATTATCCCAGTAGGTGAGTTACACATTATCCCAGTAGGTGGGTTACCACATTATCCCAGTAGGTGGGTTACCACATTATCCCAGTAGGTGGGTTACCACATTATCCAGTAGGTGAGTTACCACATTATCCCAGTAGGTGGGTTACCACATTATCCCAGTAGGTGGGTTACCACATCCCAGTAGGTGGGTTACCACATTATCCCAGTAGGTGGGTTACCACATTATCCCAGTAGGTGGGTTTACCACATTATCCCAGTAGGTGGGTTACCACATTATCCCAGTAGGTGGGGTTACCACATTATCCCAGTAGGTGGGTTACCACATTATCCCAGTAGGTGGGTTACCACATTATCCCAGTAGGTGGGTTACCACATTATCCCAGTAGGTGGGTTACCACATCCCAGTAGGTGGGTTACCACATTATCCCAGTAGGTGGGTTACCACATTATCCCAGTAGGTGGGTTACCCACATTATTCAGTAGGTGGGTTACCCACATTATCTCCGTAGGTGAGTAATATCAGTAGGTGGTTACCACATTATCCCAGTAGGTGGGTTACCACATTATCCCAGTAGGTGGGTTACCACATTATCCCCAGTAGGAGGGTTAACCACATTATCCCAGTAGGTGAGTTACCACATTATCCCAGTAGGTGGGTTACCACATTATCCCAGTAGGTGGGGTTTACCACATTATCCCAGTAGGTGGGTTACCACATTATCCCAGTAGGTGGGTTACCACATTATCCCAGTAGGTGGGTTACCACATTATCCCAGTAGGTGGGATTACCACATTATCCCAGTAGGTGGGTTACCACATTATCCCAGTAGGTGGGTTACCACATTATCCCAGTAGGTGGGTTACCACATTATCCCCAGTAGGTGGGTTACCACATTATCCCAGTAGGTGGGTTACCACATTATCCCAGTAGGTGGGTTACCACATATATCCCAGTAGGTGGGTTACCACATTATCCCAGTAGGTGGGTTACCACATTATCCCAGTAGGTGGGTTACCACATTATCCCAGTAGGTGGGTTACCACCATTATCCCAGTAGGTGGGTTACCACATTATCCCAGTAGGTGGGTTACCACATTATCCCAGTAGGTGGGTTACCACATTATCCCAGTAGGTGGGTTACCACATTATCCCAGTAGGTGGGTTACCACATTATCCCAGTAGGTGGGTTACCCACATTATCCCAGTAGGTGGGTTACCACATTATCCCAGTAGGTGGGTTACCACATTATCCCAGTAGGTGGGTTACCACATTATCCCAGTAGGTGGGTTACCACATTATCCCAGTAGGTGGGTTACCACATTATCCCCAGTAGGTGGGTTACCACATTATCCCAGTAGGTGGGTTACCACATTATCCCAGTAGGTGGGTTACCACATTATCCCAGTAGGTGGGTTACCACATTATCCCAGTAGGTGGGTTACCACATTATCCCAGTAGGTGGGTTACCACATTATCCCAGTAGGTGGGTTTACCACATTATCCCAGTAGGTGGGTTACCACATTATCCCAGTAGGTGGGTTACCACATTATCCCAGTAGGTGGGTTACCACATTATCCCAGTAGGTGGGTTACCACATTATCCCAGTAGGTGGGTTACCACATTATCCCAGTAGGTGGGTTACCACATTATCCCAGTAGGTGGGTTACCACATTATCCCAGTAGGTGGGTTACCACATTATCCCAGTAGGTGGGTTACCACATTATCCCAGTAGGTGGGTTACCACATTATCCCAGTAGGTGGGTTACCACATTATCCCAGTAGGTGGGTTACCACATTATCCCAGTAGGTGGGTTACCACATTATCCCAGTAGGTGGGTTACCACATTATCCCAGTAGGTGGGTTACCACATTATCCCAGTAGGTGGGTTACCACATTATCCCAGTAGGTGGGTTACCACATTATCCCAGTAGGTGGGTTACCACATTATCCCAGTAGGTGGGTTACCACATTATCCCAGTAGGTGGGTTACCACATTATCCCAGTAGGTGGGTTACCACATTATCCCAGTAGGTGGGTTACCACATTATCTCAGTAGGTGGGTTACCACATTATCCCAGTAGGTGGGTTACCACATTATCCCAGTAGGTGGGTTACCACATTATCCCAGTAGGTGGGTTACCACATTATCCCAGTAGGTGGGTTACCACATTATCCCAGTAGGTGGGTTACCACATTATCCCAGTAGGTGGGTTACCACATTATCCCAGTAGGTGGGTTACCACATTATCCCAGTAGGTGGGTTACCACATTATCCCAGTAGGTGGGTTACCACATTATCCCAGTAGGTGGGTTACCACATCCCAGTAGGTGGGTTACCACATTATCCCAGTAGGTGGGTTACCACATTATCCCAGTAGGTGGGTTACCACATTATCTCAGTAGGTGAGGTTACCACATTATCCCAGTAGGTGGGTTACCACATTATCCCAGTAGGTGGGTTACCACATTATCCCAGTAGGTGAGTTACCACATTATCCCAGTAGGTGAGTTACCACATTATCCCAGTAGGTGGGTTACCACATTATCCCAGTAGGTGGGTTACCACATTATCCCAGTAGGTGGGTTACCACATTATCCCAGTAGGTGAGTTACCACATTATCCCAGTAGGTGGGTTACCACATTATCCCAGTAGGTGGGTTACCACATTATCCCAGTAGGTGGGTTACCACATTATCCCAGTAGGTGGGTTACCACATTATCCCAGTAGGTGAGTTACCACATTATCCCAGTAGGTGGGTTACCACATTATCCCAGTAGGTGGGTTACCACATTATCCCAGTAGGTGGGTTACCACATTATCCCAGTAGGTGGGTTACCACATTATCCCAGTAGGTGGGTTACCACATTATCCCAGTAGGTGGGTTACCACATTATCCCAGTAGGTGGGTTACCACATTATCCCAGTAGGTGGGTTACCACATTATCCCAGTAGGTGGGTTACCACATTATCCCAGTAGGTGGGTTACCACATTATCCCAGTAGGTGGGTTACCACATTATCCCAGTAGGTGGGTTACCACATTATCCCAGTAGGTGGGTTACCACATTATCCCAGTAGGTGGGTTACCACATTATCCCAGTAGGTGGGTTACCACATCCCAGTAGGTGGGTTACCACATTATCCCAGTAGGTGGGTTACCACATTATCCCAGTAGGTGGGTTACCACATTATCCCAGTAGGTGGGTTACCACATTATCCCAGTAGGTGAGTTACCACATTATCCCAGTAGGTGGGTTACCACATTATCCCAGTAGGTGGGTTACCACATTATCCCAGTAGGTGGGTTACCACATTATCCCAGTAGGTGGGTTACCACATTATCCCAGTAGGTGGGTTACCACATTATCCCAGTAGGTGGGTTACCACATTATCCCAGTAGGTGGGTTACCACATTATCCCAGTAGGTGGGTTACCACATTATCCCAGTAGGTGGGTTACCACATTATCCCAGTAGGTGGGTTACCACATTATCCCAGTAGGTGGGTTACCACATTATCCCAGTAGGTGGGTTACCACATTATCCCAGTAGGTGGGTTACCACATTATCCCAGTAGGTGGGTTACCACATTATCCCAGTAGGTGGGTTACCACATTATCCCAGTAGGTGGGTTACCACATTATCCCAGTAGGTGGGTTACCACATTATCCCAGTAGGTGGGTTACCACATTATCCCAGTAGGTGGGTTACCACATTATCCCAGTAGGTGGGTTACCACATTATCCCAGTAGGTGGGTTACCACATTATCCCAGTAGGTGGGTTACCACATTATCCCAGTAGGTGGATTACCACATTATCCCAGTAGGTGGGTTACCACATTATCCCAGTAGGTGGGTTACCACATTATCCCAGTAGGTGGGTTACCACATTATCCCAGTAGGTGGGTTACCACATTATCCCAGTAGGTGGGTTACCACATTATCCCAGTAGGTGGGTTACCACATTATCCCAGTAGGTGGGTTACCACATTATCCCAGTAGGTGGGTTACCACATTATCCCAGTAGGTGGGTTACCACATTATCCCAGTAGGTGGGTTACCACATCCCAGTAGGTGGGTTACCACATTATCCCAGTAGGTGGGTTACCACATTATCCCAGTAGGTGGGTTACCACATTATCCCAGTAGGTGGGTTACCACATTATCCCAGTAGGTGGGTTACCACATTATCCCAGTAGGTGGGTTACCACATTATCCCAGTAGGTGGGTTACCACATTATCCCAGTAGGTGGGTTACCACATTATCCCAGTAGGTGGGTTACCACATTATCCCAGTAGGTGGGTTACCACATTATCCCAGTAGGTGGGTTACCACATTATCCCAGTAGGTGGGTTACCACATTATCCCAGTAGGTGGGTTACCACATTATCCCAGTAGGTGGGTTACCACATTATCCCAGTAGGTGGGTTACCACATTATCCCAGTAGGTGGGTTACCACATTATCCCAGTAGGTGGGTTACCACATTATCCCAGTAGGTGGGTTACCACATTATCCCAGTAGGTGGGTTACCACATTATCCCAGTAGGTGGGTTACCACATTATCCCAGTAGGTGGGTTACCACATTATCCCAGTAGGTGGGTTACCACATTATCCCAGTAGGTGGGTTACCACATTATCCCAGTAGGTGGGTTACCACATTATCCCAGTAGGTGGGTTACCACATTATCCCAGTAGGTGGGTTACCACATTATCCCAGTAGGTGGGTTACCACATTATCCCAGTAGGTGGGTTACCACATTATCCCAGTAGGTGGGTTACCACATTATCCCAGTAGGTGGGTTACCACATTATCCCAGTAGGTGGGTTACCACATCCCAGTAGGTGGGTTACCACATTATCCCAGTAGGTGGGTTACCACATTATCCCAGTAGGTGGGTTACCATATTTTTGTACCAGATAACAATTTGTGATAATTGGTACCCCATACAACATTACAGGCCTACAACATTTCCATGTTTTAATAATTGGTCTGATTGTATGGCCAACATTAAACAAAGAGATTCTGTGTATATTTTCAGAAAGATATTTGTGATCTAGTATCACTGAAGTATCGAGCCACTAATGACATCAAAGATCACAACATTGGGACAGAAATCCATAAGTACCTTACAGTTTCTGTAAGTAGACCACCTGTTTTATTTCTAATAGTCTTGAATACAACAACTATTTGAAACATGAGTCTAACCTATTGTATTATCTTCTAAGGTACTTTCTAAAGGTAGAATCATCTACACCACAAAAGTTCCAAGAAACGACAATGGGAGTTCTGTAATTGAGCTACCAAAAAATATCTGCCCTGATTTATCTCCTAACTACAGGATTGTGGCTTATTACCATACATTAGATGAACTTGTGTCAGATTCACTTTTTGTGGATACAAACCCCTCTTGTCTTGATAAAGTAAGGCATTCTTTCAGTTGCTTTTTATGTACTACTAGCCGTCCTGGCCAGGCCCTGCACTGGCCTCTGTGAAAAGCTTACCTGTGTTGGAGCGTGGTGTGTGTGTTTATTATGCAGAGGTCACAGAAACAAGTGAACTCTACTTCACTTGCCCCGTAGACCGTCAGGTTCAAAAGGGAACTACTACTACTACTGCTACTTTCTGTAGTTTAAACTTTTTATTAACCTTAATTGATCATGAGATTTTCCTATTTGTTTCATGTGATGTCATTCTCTTTGTCAGTGATAGTTTTTGTATGAATTATGTTCTCTATAGAGTTCTTGTCACAAACATAAACAAACAACACAAACGCAACCATAAATACTTCTCCTGTAGCTTAATTAAAGGTGTGTCTCTACATTCAAATATGTATTTATTTAAATTTTCCACCTTTAAATCAAATTTAGTTTATACATTTAGTTTTAGTAAATCCAAAATATTATGTTCAACATACTTCCGTATCTTTAAGTTCTGCATATATTGCTAAAGATACTGATCTCATATAGAATGGTGTGGCCTAAGGGATAGAGCTTAGAATACCGGCTCAAGTCAGTAAAACGTCTCTGAGTCCACCCAGCTTTAATGGGTACCTAACTCACATTAGGGAAAGTTAAGGCAGCTGGGTAAAGTGCTGACCAAACCTTCCCTTCATATGCTTTTGTATATTAGAGTAGCAGCAGGTAAAGCAAATAAAACTTGAGCTGAGGTTGAAAGTTTTTATGTCTCCTAGTTATTTTGTCCTCTAATTATTTGTTGTTAAAATTGTTCCTACACAGATTGAGCTGCCTCGTGGGGTTACCACATTACAAGTTCCTTTTAAACCAAAGGATAAATATAATCTTAGAATAACTGGTAGCCCAGGCATGCTTGTTGGTCTCCTGGCGGTGGACAAAGCTGTTCTAATGCTCAATGATAAACAGACTCTAACACGACAGATGGTAAACACTTGTCAAAATTCTACTTGAGATCGTTTACTTTCACTATCAATGTTGTATGCCAACTTTTTATAAATTATGCATATTAACTAAGAAAAATGTCTTACATCAGACATGAATAAAGCTTTTATTAATCTTACAGATTTTCAAACAGCTTGCCAATCATGATCAAGGAGAAGGTGTTGGTGATGGGGTGGATTCCTATTTTACTCTTAAGGTAATAACTCTCATGTTTTAGCATTATACCTAAATATTAAATAAAGCAAATATAAAAAAACCTTTAGCAACAAGCTTTACAGACAACAGCAAGCAAAGGATAGATCTTAATCTTGCTATCTCCCCTTTATTTCAAAGCATTTAAAAACTATGTTATCTGTCATCGAAGTGGAGCGTATCTAGAAGGTATGCACAAAATAACTGCATTAGAAATGGGTCAAAATTGAGTTACAATATTTGCCACAAACCCACAAACAGACGCTATAAGCTAAATAAAAGCTTGTAAAAAAAATTAGGCATTACCCTGAGCAAAACAAACTCTCAATGAAAAAAAATGGGTAGACCCTTCTTACAGACATAGGTAGCTGTAGAATTAGGTAGAATGCCGATTGTTGCAATTTTAAAATTGTTTTTCCATCGTAAATTGTAAATGATAAGCACAATAAAAAATTTGGTTCATCGTCGCAGCCATGACAGGAACTTACCATGAGTCTAACAGTACCAGTTACATACTTTTTTAATATCCCATTTTTAAGTACAAACTGACCACCTGAGGTAAGGTGTCTAATACAGATTTATCGGTCAGTCTGTGTCTGGGCATGTAGATTAAAGACTTGACACCAATAAAGCGGTACCGCAGGTTCAAAGGGTTAAGCTGACAAGCACCATGTGACCAATGCATGACAGAACATAAAAGTTTACTGAGTACTAAAAAAAAAAGCACGAATTTCTTTCAACTAACTTAACCATAGATGACTGAACTTAAGAAACAATTATTTCACTAACACTATATCGCAACACATTTAATTCTGTACATTTTTAAAATAATATATTTCACATTATTTTATATAAAATGTTTTATATTGTGTAGTATGGTCTTTTAAAAAATTGTGCCTAAATTTTCTGTTGTATAGCACCAAATTAAATCTTTTATTATAATTTTATTAAACATGCACTGAGAAATCTTCTGTGGAAGACAAAGTGCCTCTACCAATGATTTTTTTTTCTCCAGAAATCTGGGTTGGAGTTTCTTATCTTTGAGGTTAATACTCCTATGTTATCTGAACCTTTACTAAGTGATTATCAGAACATTTTTGCTCATGAAAAGCCTAGTAGCAGTAAGTATTACCAATATGTCATGAATGATTAGGTTGTGTTGAACAGTTGAATCAAGCAGATGTGACATCTTTGTTTTATAACTAATGATCTGTGACATCTTTGTTTTATAACTAATGATCTGTGACAACTTTGTTTTATAACTAATGATCTGTGACATCTTTGTTTTATAACTAATGATCTGTGACAACTTTGTTTTATAACTAATGATCTGTGACAACTTTGTTTTATAACTAATGATCTGTGACATCTTTGTTTTATAACTAATGATCTGTGACATCTTTGTTTTATAACTAATGATCTGTGACAACTTTGTTTTATAACTAAGGATCTGTGACATCTTTGTTTTATAACTAATGATCTGTGACATCTTTGTTTTATAACTAATGATCTGTGACAACTTTGTTTTATAACTAAGGATCTGTGACATCTTTGTTTTATAACTAATGATCTGTGACAACTTTGTTTTATAACTAAGGATCTGTGACATCTTTGTTTTATAACTAATGATCTGTGACATCTTTGTTTTATAACTAATGATCTGTGACAACTTTGTTTTATAACTAAGGATCTGTGACATCTTTGTTTTATAACTAACGATCTGTGACAACTTTGTTTTATAACTAATGATCTGTGACATCTTTGTTTTATAACTAATGATCTGTGACAACTTTGTTTTATAACTAAGGATCTGTGACATCTTTGTTTTATAACTAATGATCTGTGACAACTTTGTTTTATAACTAATGATCTGTGACATCTTTGTTTTATAACTAATGATCTGTGACAACTTTGTTTTATAACTAATGATCTGTGACAACTTTGTTTTATAACTAATGATCTGTGACATCTTTGTTTTATAACTAAGGATCTGTGACATCTTTGTTTTATAACTAATGATCTGTGACATCTTTGTTTTATAACTAATGATCTGTGACAACTTTGTTTTATAACTAATGATCTGTGACATCTTTGTTTTATAACTAATGATCTGTGACATCTTTGTTTTATAACTAATGATCTGTGACAACTTTGTTTTATAACTAAGGATCTGTGACATCTTTGTTTTATAACTAATGATCTGTGACAACTTTGTTTTATAACTAATGATCTGTGACATCTTTGTTTTATAACTAATGATCTGTGACAACTTTGTTTTATAACTAATGATCTGTGACAACTTTGTTTTATAACTAATGATCTGTGACATCTTTGTTTTATAACTAAGGATCTGTGACATCTTTGTTTTATAACTAATGATCTGTGACATCTTTGTTTTATAACTAATGATCTGTTTAGTGAGCCAAGCAGAAGTTGCTCATACACATCTGTTGATGTTGTTTTTTTACCACCATTCATTCATAAGTTGAGTTCTTCTAAGTAAAAATATTTGAGTCAACAAAGCTGGTCCTTTTAAAAGTGTGCTAAAGCTGTTTTAAAAAAATGATAACTTACAAAAATTATTTGATTAAAGGAATGGCACGTCCAGCCCATGCAGCCCTAGACAATAGTCAGGATTTGGTTACCTCCCCTGTGGACCCAGCTGCTGAAACCAATCAAGTACATTCACAGAGTGTGAGAAATTATTTCCCTGAGTCCTGGCTGTTTGAAGAGAAGATCTTGCCCAGGTAAAAGATTTTATTCTAATGGCACTCGTACTAAGTTATTTGAACCCCTACAGGTCCAGCCTACTGTTTCCCTCTATTCCCACAACCATAAATATTATTTTGTTATTAGTTCCCAGAGCTCATTCAAAATATACATAAATACTAGGTTAAATTTTATTTTGACATGTGGATAATGAAATAAGCAGAATTGAATAAGCATGTTAGAAAATAAATCTGTGAAAAAAGTGTGGCCTACATCTAGAGCTACGATGTCACACAGCAGCTACTTTAATGAGAGAAATATGTAAGCTCTAAGATGTAAACTTTAATGAGAGAAATGTGTAAGCTCTAAGATGTAAACTATAATGAGAGAAATGTGTAAGCTCTAAGATGTAAACTTTAATGAGAGAAATGTGTAAGCTCTAAGATGTAAACTATAATGAGAGAAATGTGTAAGCTCTAAGATGTAAACTTTAATGAGAGAAATGTGTAAGCTCTAAGATGTAAACTTTAATGAGAGAAATGTGTAAGCTCTAAGATGTAAACTTTAATGAGAGAAATGTGTAAGCTCTAAGATGTAAACTTTAATGAGAGAAATGTGTAAGCTCTAAGATGTAAACTTTAATGAGAGAAATGTGTAAACTCTAAGATGTAAACTTTAATGAGAGAAATGTGTAAGCTCTAAGATGTAAACTTTAATGAGAGAAATGTGTAAACTCTAAGATGTAAACTTTAATGAGAGAAATGTGTAAGCTCTAAGATGTAAACTTTAATGAGAGAAATGTGTAAGCTCTAAGATGTAAACTTTAATGAGAGAAATGTGTAAGCTCTAAGATGTAAACTTTAATGAGAGAAATGTGTAAGCTCTAAGATGTAAACTTTAATGAGAGAAATGTGTAAGCTCTAAGATGTAAACTTTAATGAGAGAAATGTATAAGCTCTAAGATGTAAACTTTAATGAGAGAAATGTGTAAGCTCTAAGATGTAAACTTTAATGAGAGAAATGTGTAAGCTCTAAGATGTAAACTTTAATGAGAGAAATATGTAAGCTCTAAGATGTAAACTTTAATAAGAGAAATGTGTAAGCTCTAAGATGTAAACTTTAATGAGAGAAATGTGTAAACTCTAAGATGTAAACTTTAATGAGAGAAATGTGTAAGCTCTAAGATGTAAACTTTAATGAGAGAAATGTGTAAGCTCTAAGATGTAAACTTTAATGAGAGAAATGTGTAAACTCTAAGATGTAAACTTTAATGAGAGAAATGTGTAAGCTCTAAGATGTAAATTTTAATGAGAGAAATGTGTAAGCTCTAAGATGTAAACTTTAATGAGAGAAATGTGTAAACTCTAAGATGTAAACTTTAATGAGAGAAATGTGTAAGCGCTAAGATGTAAACTTTAATGAGAGAAATGTGTAAGCTCTAAGATGTAAACTTTAATGAGAGAAATGTGTAAACTCTAAGATGTAAACTTTAATGAGAGAAATGTGTAAACTCTAAGATGTAAACTTTAATGAGAGAAATGTGTAAACTCTAAGATGTAAATTTTCCAGCTCTGGAGTGTTGCAGCTCCCACTGATATTGCCAGACTCTATGACCACCTGGTCATTGACAGCTGTAGGCCTGTCAGCTAATAGGGGTATCTGTATGACTGATCCTCTTGACATCAAAGTCCAGACACTGTTTTATCTCAAAGTTAGAGCTCCTTACAAGGTTGTAAGATTGGAAGAAATCAACATAAAAATTGATATTTACAACTATTACAACGATGATATACAGGTACATTTTATATTATGTCTAATATATATTTTAATATCTGTATACCACTAAAGCTCACCAGGGTTTGAATATTTATTTATTTATAAATTTATTAGAATTTTAAAATGTTACATGCATAAGATATGTGTAGCATTTTAAAATTCATATGTACTTTTAAAATGAATAGATGTACACATAGAAATATGGTAATAATTGAGCAAGTTTAAGATCAACTTTAATAATTTAATCTTTGTTTTATCACTGGTGAAGTTTATTTATTATATAAAGGTCTTGGGTGAAGTTTGTGAGAAAGTTTGTGTGTGGGATATTCTGTTGTCAAAGTTTGTGAGAAAGTTTGTATGTGGGATATTCTGTTGTCAAAGTTTGTGAGAAAGTTTGTATGTGTGGGATATTCTGTTGTCAAAGTTTGTGAGAAAGTTTGTGTGTGGGATATTCTGTTGTCAAAGTTTGTGAGAAAGTTTGTATGTGTGGGATACTCTGTGTATAAGTGGTGAGTGTAGTAGGTGTGATAGAAAAGGAGGGGAGGGGTGCTATAGGGGATGAAGTTTGCTGTGATGTGGTGCAGCAACACACCTTTTACAACAAGAAACTAGTTTACAAACTAACATTTTCTAGTCTAGTTTACAAACTAACATTTTCTAGTCTAG